ATGGGAACTGATGAATCAGTTAGACTGTAATGCCAACTGAGTGGAAGATGACACTTACTATGATTATCATAACAATCGTCGAAAATTCTGAAACCTTCAGATGAAATTTCAATACATCAATGTAAGAATCATAGAAAAACTTTCAAAACAATGAACTATCTTTAGAACAGAACGGAATCTTCCGTCTATCTAACGTCTTACAAAGGAATAGTTTGATGGTACTTTTGCAGCATCTATTTACAAAGAGCAACCATCAAGAATGGCAGAAAAAATTAATTTTCGTTTTTCAAAAAAATTTGCATGCTTTCCAATTATCGTCAATACTCATTAGAGGAGTTGTTATTGAATCGCAACGCTAATTTGGCTGCATAGAAAGAAATGAATCAAGAGCCACATACTTTTAGTACCATTGCCGCGAAAAGCCGAAGTTTTATTTTAAGGGAGCTAAAAGTTTAGTTTTGCTAGATAACAATTAACAGCTTATCGGTACCTTTAATATATAATAAGAACTTGATAAATCATCGAGTAGCTGAAAAAAAGCTGCAAGATTGAGTTAATTTAATAGAGTAAAAGAGTTTGAAAATTACATATTGGTTCTAAAGTAAAATCAAAATCGTTGTCACTACAGTATATCTTCACTTGAACCTTGCAACAACGATATTACCATAAAACCTGCGAGTAAAAAAAAATTGAAATTTATTAATCCTATGTTAATTTTTGGCTAAACAAGTAAACCAAGTCCGTTGTCACTGTTTTAAGTGCCTGGCTGTGATCTAGTTTACAATAAGTATTTTTGCAAATCGGCATGTACAAGTTCACGCTAAACACTTCGTATACTGTTAAGTACAGTATTTTTAAAAAACATCGACAATTATACAAAGCTATGATTTATTTATATTTACGGAGTGTCGCACATTTTACATTAATAATAGTGTTTTTTTCTGTTAGATGTCTTCGGGCTGTAGTGTTGACATGTTGGTAGAATCTATTGGTTCGCTCTGTCGTTGATGGTAGTTCTATCAATTTATTTCTTGTTTGCCGTGTTCTTTTGTTCTCGCGCACGACTAAAGATAAATAGCCACTTAATAATCTCTTATCGTTCGAAGCACGTCAGCCGTATGTTATTCTGGGGAGGGTTTGAAATGAGAGTCGGCCATCTGTCGGCAAACTCCTTCCGAAGCAATAAAATGATTGTAAATAGGCCAAAAGTGACTTTCGCAGTATCAAATAATTAGAAGTTAATCTTCACTGCAATACGTGTCATTGGCTCTTTTGCTAAACCAACCGTGTAAAATGAGCCACTATTACATTATTAATTGATCAACACTTGAAGTCAAATAGGTTTTCAATACGAATTTTAAAATTAAGTCAAACTAGTTATAAGTAAGTGAGCCCTGTCGAATGAATAAACTTCTAGGAACCCTCCGTTATCGGCAAGACAAAACTTTCGAAGATATTCTTAGGTAAGATCATGCCTTAAACAACAACTTGTTTTTAGCTAGTTGAGTATATAATAGCGAATCTTGAGTTGACCATTAATTTTGCGTTTTAGATTATGTGTGGCACATTAATTTATATTGATGTATCTCTTTACATACTTTTAATTTGCATATGGCTTTCAGCCTCTGCGACAATCAACAAACGATACGGTTCGTGGAATCGGTCGAAGCAGACGCTCGATTTGTATTATTTAATGATGTGACAAACGGGTAGTGATATTCCATTGTGTGTTCCTTGCTTCGAGCCTGCAACTGTCGCGTGAATAAACTAACGCTATTTTTTCTTTTCTCTCCAACCGCTCTTTCTTTCCCTATATTATATACGCGCTCACCTCGTCACGTCAGTAGATGACATCTTTGACAAAAAATTTTGATAACAGATGACGCTATAACTCTCTGATATACACCACCATACCATCAGTTGTTTGATGCTATATATATATATATATATATATATATATATATATATATATATAAACGTTTTAATATTCTCAGCTTCCCGTTTTAGGGTGTGGTTTTCCCTTTTTCGTCTTTACCTTCTTTTTAATATTTATACTAATCGACAATCCTAATAGATATAGGCTCTCGAGATCATTAACACAGGTGTGAGCCAGATAACTGGTAGCACAAAACGGCTTTACCACTTGTCGCTTCAAGACACCCACTCCGTGTCGAATGCTGTACGTCCACCAGCAAGTACCAATTATGTTCAGACTTATTGTTTCATTAATATTACTTTTAGTCCTTCTCTGTTCCCTTACTCCCCACCATATATATATATATATATATATGCGTGTCAGTCTATGGCAAAAACCAAAACCTGTTGAAAGTTGCTCTCATAGACTTCAATTAGACTGCACGAAGCTATCGATTAACTATTGCGAAACGGAACGAAAATTCATACCGATTCCGCCGTTTCTCCATCCCACACATCAACCAGGAAACAGCGTGAACATAAGCGAAAATTCAATATGATCATGGTGGTCATAATCTTCATCTGTATATCCACGCCCCACCCTACCATATCGATGTACCTCGAAATTGCAAACTTAAATTGCACTCAACTGACACACTCGATGAATCACATTCACTTAACAAAGTTAACATAACATAAACTTAAAACAAACAATCTCACAGTGCTTTCGTTAGGTAAATCTAGGTGGAAAGTGCTATCATCGGCTCAAAGGCTATGTAATTTCATATATATATGTATATATATATATATAATGTTATGCGTTCCCCTGTGTGACTGTGCTGCTCCGCACTGAGGTGGATGGCATAAACGTCATACCCATAACAAACGGCAGAGTGCGTCTGCTCGCGATGAAACGCTGAGATCTAAGGTCGGAAGCCCACACGGCGGATATTTCCGACGTGTTCCCTCGACACCCCTTGTGATCAAAATAAAAAAGCGAAATGAAACAAAGCATATGCTTACACTTAGAGTTACAATAATCATTCTCTTCACCAGCATGTTCATCATTATAATGCAATAACATTTCAGTCAATCTCTAGCGTTGCTGTACCAATCATTTCCTCATTTCCCAAGCAAAGGGAAAGGAGCTCGTTAATACCTACTACAGGATCCTATAGGGTGGTCGTGGAGGTGAATATCTCCTCCGCGAGAAACTTCGACTCTTTCACCCTTCTCTATTTTCTTCGTCCCTAAGACGTGTTCTGTCATATGCGGCCGTACAATAGTTCGGCGGCAGTTGATGTTACTCTTCGTTGACGTTGTTGTCGGTGTCGTTAGCTCCTCTTCACGATCAACTCGAACAGGTTGTTCGACCTCCTCCTTAAGGTCGCGTTATGCAGGATCTGTTCCTAAGCAGATCCGAGACTGGATAGTTTTCATATTAGGTCAGAATCAACTCCTCAAAACTCCATACTCTTCGCTGTCCCAGTGTGCTTAGGACAGCAAAGAATACAACTCGTATGATTTGGTCGGAATAGTATTGACATGTAACCGTTCAGTTCGCATCGATTTGATATTGTGTATATTGATGATCTGTATGGTATAGACTCGTTGAACAACTCATTGTGTACTTGTCTGTGCGCGGCCGCTGATCTCTTGCGACCGCATGGACTCCCTCCGGCGGTTCGAGTGTGTACGACCATAATAATAATGGTCGTCGGCGCTTCCCAGGAGCAGTAAGCTCATCACTGGACATAATTTGACATCGTTGACTTCTGCAAGCAAGCCGTGTGTATGTGAGCCTTTGCTCACCCGAATGGTTAATTTTTACGTGTTGGTAACGTGGTACCCTAATAAAAGGTGACCGCATTGTGTCGCTGTTGCCGATGCGCCGACGGCGCGGTTTGACTGCCGGCGCATTTGTCCGGCCGCTGGCTGCTGCATGCGTCTCAACTGTAACTGTTCAGGCGACATCTTGGCTGGTCCGGTCCACCCATTCGCCGCGTCGTGGCACCGTCCAGCGACCGTGCGTGTAGTTGTTCATTACATCGCGAACACGCTACGGCACCGGGGCCCCACTCGGCGGCTCAGAGTGGCCGAGTGTTCGCTGGTGGCGTGTCGTAGACGGCGAGCCGCGTTGGATGCTTGGCTCGGCTGAGCACTGGATGCTCTATCTCGCTCCATCCTAACTTCATCTCAGCTTCGTCTACCTGAGTTTGTTTATATAGATAGCTGGCTCTCCCTCGCTCTGATTAGCTCGTTTCTTCGTTCCCTCGATTCGTTGTTTCCCTCAGTCAAATCTACTAGCATGGCTGCTCTCCGCGTCCTCTCTTCTCGGCTTCCCTCGTGCTGCCTTCTATTTCGATCCTGCCCTTCGACCCATGTAGGCTGGCTGAGCCTGCTCATTTTACCACGCTCATTACGGATGTAATCGGCTTCGTCATCGTCGCTTTCTTGGCTTGGTCTCGGCTGCGGTGCTGGACGGGCGTGCCCATTCTCCGTTAACCCACCCTTCCATCCTCCATCCGGGTTCTGTTTCTGGTGCTGGACAAGTTCTCTCGCGGGCGCAATCATGTTTCGCTTCCTGAGTTTTCTGCCTTTCTATCTCTAGCTTCCAGTAGTTTGTTCCTTTGTGTAATTGGTTGGTTGGTTTTACTCTTTAGGAGAATAGCCAATTTTTTTTTCTGTAGTTCACTGCCGCTCTCCTGCTCTCGTCGTCCTAATGATTATTATTTTTAACGTATCATTTACGGTGAGATAATTCGATACCTCTTTGGGTGTCCCATAGCATCGCGTCGGCCCAGGGCACTTGCACGGGCATCACATGGCCACTCCCTGAGTTGCAGGTGGACCGACGTGTCCGCGGGTGGTTCGCTCGCTCAAAGCAGCGTCAAACATTTGCTAGGCAACAGAATCGTAGAGCTCGCAAGAGCGTCGTCCATCGACGTCAGATGTGCTCAGTATATGATGCGTCGAAATTCCGACGGGCAGAAATAACCCACTGGATATCCAATCGCAATCGGACTTCGGTCGCGATCAGGGGATGAACACGAGTGAACCGGTCCCGCCGGGGAGCAAGCCTTAGCTTATTTCAATAGGCTGCTTGTTTGATGTTGCAGGAGAGCTGCCTGTCGGGCCACTGCCTGGATAAGGTTGCTGTTCTCTTGACTGTTGGGGTTCGCGTTGGGATTGTTGCTGTTGTTGTTTTGTTGCTGCTGCGGAGTCCCCTGTGGAGTCCCTGGTGGGGGAGACTGGTCCTTGTCCCTCCGCGGCGTCGCGGGATTGGGACTGCACTGGTCCGCCGCCCCCTGTCCCTGCCCCTGAGACCCCTGGGCCCCGGGGCCCCCCGATGGGCCCCCCCCCGCTGGACTGGGGTTCCCCGGAGAGTCCGTGGCCTCGGGGACTCGACCGCCCTGTTGCAGATGCTGACTGGCCTGTGATTGACAGCGAACGACAATCAATCAATTAACCGTTAACAGATTATTTAATCTTCTCCATCTTCAAGGAAGTGGATTTCAAGTCCTCTACAGATAAACATTTCTGTAATTTCCTACACGATTGAAAATGTTTTCTCCGTTGCTCCCACAAACGAAGATTAGTATAATAGTGGTCAGCCCTCGGCGTTGCTAAGAAGCACCCTTTTGCAATTGTGATAACGATCCTGTAGTAGTTTCGCTAGCGCAGTAGCTAGTCAAACCATACGACTATATAAATGTGTATATAGGAAATAGAAACGAATAACTATTGATAATAATACTTATTATCATTATTCACTGGAATAATATTCTTATCGTTTGTTGACTATAACTGACCTGGTGGGCCTGCTGCGTGACCTGTAGAGCGGCTGCATTGAATAATGTTGGAAGCTGAGATCGAAAGAGTGGATTGTTCATGATCATTTGTTGGAACTCCTGGTCCATAGTTCCCGACGCCGTAGAAATAGTTGGGAAATGTGGGGGCGGGGCCGCAGGCGGATTGGCCGCCGTCACCGGTGGCGCCTGTTGCGGCGGTGTTGGCGTTGGTGCTGCTGACACCTGCATATGGCCCTGCATGTGCTGCTGTAGAGAGCTGTGCGCCGCCAGATGTTGGTGGTGACTCAGAGGATTGGAGTTGTTGGCCATTAGCTGTTGGCCCCCCTGGGCCGCCGCTGCCGCCCCCGCCGGGGCCGCTCCCGCCGGTGCCCCCATTGTTCCCCCCGCCGCCCCCGCTCCCCCCGCTGCTGCCGCCGCCGCCGCCGCCGCCGCTGTTGCTGCCCCCGAGCCCCCCGCTGCCGCCCCCGACTGCCCCCGGCCCCTCGCCGAAGGGGGGTCTACAGACAGACAACCGCCCGGTCAGTCAGCCGATCAAGCAAAACACAAATAATGTTAGTGATAATAACAACAACTATTTAAAAATATATTCACGTTACGGACAACTAGTTTATGAGCAGCAGCAGCAGCAGCATCGAAATGTAACAATATGGTTGCACTGAGACAAAAAATTACATATTGTATATATCGCTACAAAATAGAGCCTAGGTGAATGTTTTGAATTTACGCTCAGTACGGTAGTATTAATTACTGCGTTATAATACGATAAAGTGTAAACCTCGTCTACAAAAAAACTTAAATATCTATACTATTTTTACATCTATATAAATACCTTCGATATATCCATACGAATTATATAT